GGGGGCGGCTGGGGGCTCCGGGCAGCCGAGGAAATGCTCGTCGCGGCGGAACGCCTGGGGGAACCTGTCCTACGCCGACCTGATCACTCGCGCCATCCAGAGCTCCCCGGACCAACGGCTCACGCTGTCCCAGATCTACGAGTGGATGGTGCGCTGCGTGCCCTACTTCAATGATAAGGGCGACAGCAACAGCTCTGCGGGCTGGAAGGTGCGTACCTACCTCGGGCGGGTGGTGGGACTCGCCGGCCTCCTGCGCAGCGCCAGGCGTCCCTTCGCTTCGTGGAGCGCGCCTACCGGCGTTGGGGACGGGTTGGCAGAGAGCCTGGGCTGTGGGTCTTTGGGGAGTTTTGTGTGACCCCAAAGGAAGGGTACCTGAGGCGGCCGGGGTGGGGGGCGTCGGGGGGAGGAGGCTCCCTGGGAAGTGTCGGGCATGGCCAGGTTCTGAGAAGGGGCAAGGGACTTTGGAGAGAGAAGGACAGAGTGCTTATGCTGTATTCCCGGACAGCGCGGAGCAGGTAGGTCTGAGGCCAACTTTGGAGTAGAATTCACCATGGTGGGGGTGCGGCGAGGGCGCTGCGGTTGGAGTGCGGGGACGTGGGGTTGTGTTTGGGACTCGGGACTCGGTGCCTGGAGGAGGAGTTGGATTTGAGTTTTCCAGGAGCTTGGTGCGTTGTCACTAGCTGGGTGAGAACCCTAGGGTCCAAGTTTCGGGTTTGTGGGTGTTAACTTCCACAGGCATGAGGATATCACTAGAAAACCAGTGGTTGCAAACATTTCCCTGGCGGGCTCTCTGTTAACACCTGTATTGCTCAGAGATGTCTTTTCAGTCAGCCTGCCCCCAGTAGCCTCTGAGATGTTCTGGGGTCTGGAAGAGGTCAGCTCTGCCATCTGAACGCGGTGTGGCCTCACCTGCTGCTCCGGCTGCGGCCCGGACTCTGGCCTTGTTTGAGGTGGGGTCCAGGTGTGGAGGCCTGGAGGCCGGGTGCCTCACTGAGGGCTTTGGAAGGGAGGTTTGGTGGCAGGGCTGGGCTGTAATGGCTTCTGCCAATAAGTGAACCTGAAGAGAGGCTCTCTACTGTTCCTTTTCAGCCTCTTGGGGGCACTGGACACGTGGTAGGGAGAGAGGTGTGGAAAGGCCTATGATGTAATGACTTCCTGCAGTTGGGCACCAAGAGAGATTAGCTCCTGTGCCCTTGCTGATACCCAGCTGCTTTGCTCCTCCTGGCCCCTTCCCCCAAGATATGAATGTGTCAGTGCCAGGCAGAAGAGACTCCTGCGCATTTGGAGATACTAATTGCTTATCAGTTGCTTCTATTTGCAATTAGTTGCTGCTTTTTTTTTTTTTTTTAAATTAAAGAGGTAGTTGCTTCCTCCTCCTGTCCCTTCCTTTATTGTCTTTGGGGAGCCCTGTATCTTCCTGGGTTTCAATAGGTGTATAAAATAACATGTAGTGGAGAATTGAAGCGTTGGAGAGGAGGCTGTATATGAAAAACTAAATAATTTAGTGTATTGAGTTTTAATTTGCTTAAAAATAAAATCCTTGTAAAGTTCCTTAAAAAAATTATGGCCAATATTGGAGTGGCCTTGTTTAGATTTAAACCTTTTTTAGATTAAACAAACTTTAAAAGCAAAATGTGTGCTTTGATATTATTCCACAAATCTGTTTCATTTCCTTTAACAAATGCTGACAGTATGAATGCTACATATGATTTAATTTTATTGCTTTGCAAAGGAGTGCCAGTTGTGTGATATGAGGGCTCTTTAGAGAAAGGCCGAGAGTTCTGTTTCACAGCCGTGCTAATGTGATACCTTTTAAAATTGAGTTTCCAAGTGGATAGCAAGGGTTAATCTCAGTCTACAGTATCAGGAAGGGGTGAGTTTACAGGATTTAAGAAGATCGATTTGGGATTTTGGAGTATTTTTCAAATTTCTCACACTTGGAATTTAGTCCTGCATTTTTTGAATTTGGTGCATAGATACTGTTAATTGCAAGTTAGCTAACTTTCAACTTAGTTAACATAGGGAGGGTTTTCAGCTTTCCTATGATTTTTACCATTAAGAAGTAATTTCATGCTGTTGTGCTTATAGGTAAAATTAACAGTTTGATAACATTGGATTTAAAAAATAATTATGTGAGAAAGTGGTATTATCAAAAGTAACTGAATTGCTAATTATATTTTTATTATAACTTGCACAATTTGCAGTAGAGATTTTGGGCCTAGTCATAAACTTGGTGGTTTTATGTCCTAAGCCATTTTTGGTCTCATAGTTCCTTTTTTCTTTCTCTGCTATCTTATTTCTCTTTAACCAAAATTTTATGAAATATTGTAAATTGAAACTCTCAAGCCTTAATATCTTTCATACAGGGCACACATTTTATGATTATTTTTACTGTAAATGGTTACATCAGTTCCACTTCTGAGTATTATGTGATAACTAATTCTTGAAGACTATAGGGATATCATTTAAAGAGTTTTTGTAAGATGACCTTTATCAAAAGATGCAGCCATGCAAGAACTTCCAAATCTTTGATGATGGTGAAGGCCCTTTGAGACTGGGGCTGGTTTCATATTCTGATGATGACTACTAGCCAACCCTATTGTGCTTGTGGTTTAGTTGGGGCAGAAGACGAGGGAAAAGGGAGAGGTCAGGAGCTGATTGTGACCCATATTCATGGGTCCAAGTTTCAGGAGTTGAATCCTATCATGATTAGTCATTTTGGAAGCATCTGTGTGCATTTAAACCACATTACTTTCATTCTGAGTTATGTATTTGAGTTTTTAACCCCTAAAAATGTCTAGAATTCAGGTTAATGTCTCCTAGACATGTGTGTACATAGGCACAGTATGCAGGGGCCAGGCCTTCTTTTGTGGCTTTTTAGGCCATTGCATTATGAGAGCCTATAACCAGAATTATGACCCTAAGGTCATAGAATGAAAGAGGCCTTGGAGATCAGAATCGAATCAGTGGTTTGAAGCCCTGGTTGCATGTTAGAATCACCTGAGAACCTTTAAAAACTGTCGCTACCCAGAGAACCTGATTTAATTGTGCTGGTGGGTGGATTAGTGTTTATTGTTTAGGGAGGGGAGGGAGGCTTGAAATTTCTCAGGTGATTCTAATATACAGCCAGGATGAGGTTTGTTGATCTAGTTCAGTGGTCGGCAAACTCATTAGTCAACAGAGCCAAATATCAACAGTACAACGATTGAAATTTCTTTTGAGGGCCAAATTTTTTAAACTTAAACTATATAGGTAGGTACATTGTTATTAACTTAATTAGGGTACTCCTAAGGCTTAGGAAGAGCCATACTCAAGGGGCCAAAGAGCCGCATGTGGCTCGAGAGCTGCAGTTTGCCAACCACGGATCTAGTTCAACCCTTTATTTAATAGGTGAAGAACCTGATTCTTGAAGTTAATGACTTTTCTAAGATCACACAGCTAGTTAGTACAGAGGTAATTAGTAGCCGCAGTTCTAGAGATCGTTGTTCTTTAATCACACGGTTTTCCTCTTTAAATTGATCTTTTTAAAAGGTCATTTACTAAGTAATGTGTTCCCTTAACATAAGTAGAGGTTGTTTTCTTGAAAAACATATTTGCCTCTCAATCTAGTCTTGGTTATTATTTCAGCATCAGAAAGACAGATGAATGTTGATGGAGGCCGAGGAGTGCATCATGTTTGTAGAGCTGTCCAGTGCCTATCAGTATGCGTATTTGGGAACTGTGAAGTGACACAAGTGGAAAAAAAAAAAAAAAAAAAAAAAAAAAGATAGCATTTTAACAAAAAGAGGATGTTCTTGGCTAACTTAGGTTTGTTAGTTACCTGCTGTGCCAGGGAGAAAGGTGATGGCTATCTCACAGGTTCCCGTACCTCAGGCATTTAAGTAGAAGTGAATAATCAGATGTGGTTAAGAGGGGAAAAGGTTACATTTCTTTTAATTCCCATTAAACGTACTTGCACTGCACCCATAATTAAACTGTTGAGAGTGGTTCCTCCGGACTTGGGCAGACCTCTAGGACTCCAGCGTTTACCTTGTAAGGCCTGTTTCCTGCTTGTCTCCCACATGCACGCACACACCTGCATTGCCCACGGATCAGGGCACTGAGATATTATGCAGCCATGAGTTTCTGTGGTGGCTCCCACAGTTTCACAAATGTAGGCGGCTGCTGCTGCTGCAGAGGGTGACTGCTCAGGAGACCGGGTCTTCCTTCGTAGGACAATGTGCACTCTTAGAGCATCTTCCCAAGGTGAAGAGATGAGGGCTGACCTGCCACATAAATCTTGTTTACGTGCCCACTGTTGCAGTTTTTTTCAGATTAATGCATTCAGTTCCTTTTCAACATACTGCATTAAGAAAATGTTAGTTTAACCGCACTTTTATGTTTAAAAAAATACATATTTAAAGTTTCAAAATGACAAAGTCATAATAATTCCATATTGTCTCATAATTTTGACCTCAGTCGCCTTTGGAGTAACTCACCAAAGGGCCAGTTATGGTGGTGTGTGAGGAATCTGTCTTCTGCTGGGCCCATGTTGCCAGAAGGCTGTTTTGTAATTTCCTTTGGCAGTACTGTCATCGTCAGTGATTCTCAACTAATACACTTCCTCTTCCTACAGCAGCAATACACGAGGGGGACTGTTTTCCTCTTTCTCAAAGCTGTGTCATCGACCTATGAAGTGAAGAAACTGGCCCTTTTGGACTTTGATCTGTGAGCCCTATGTAGCAGAGAGACTCTTTAAAAAAAGAAGTGAAGTGTTGGTTTTGATATGTTTATCTCCTTAGAAAATGAAATGAAACTACGCAGACTTATTTTTAGGAGCTTTTAGGAGAGTTCTATTTTAAGAGAATGACACCATACAAGAACATCTTGTAGTTAAACTTTTTAATACTCGTGATTCTTACTTAAAACCTGCAAGATATTTTTATTTGGTAAATTAATGGAGAGGCCTTGTCCCACTAAAAAGTCATTTACTTGCTCTGGAAAAGTTAAGCAGACTCCATCCATCCAAAGATCTTGATTAAAAAATGCAAAGATAAGACTTTTAGGCCTGTGTGTTCTGGGGAGGTATCCCACTTACCCATTGCTTGTCCCTGAAGCTGGACAGAGTGTGGGATTTATTTTGTTTTCATACACATTCATCTCACCTGTAGGGAACAGCCTTGGTCCTATGCTTGACTCCTCATTTTTCTCCACACCTTTTCCTGTATCACAAATTGAGGGGTCCTGAAGATTCACTTTGGCTTTTTGCTGCTAAAGAAGTCCTTTGGGGTGACATACATACAGGTGCGTGAGCATCAGCAGATATTACAGCTGAGGTACAGTAAGTGAGTAAAAGACTGAGAAGAGAAAACTCTTTTTACACATTTGCATCACATGCCATTTCATTCATTCAACAAATATTTACGAGAGGCATACTGTGTGCAGGGCATTCTGCTGGCCCCAGGGATCTAGTAGTAGCACAAGACAAATAAGGTTTCAGTTCACAGGAGTTCACAGTCTATTGGGGAAAGACAGAAAATAAACATGCAAATATGTGCTCTGTGAACTTGTCCTTATTGTCCATTCTCTTGCCTTTTTTCACATGTGTACTTCTGCTTTCCCTCGTGTTTCAGCTCTGGCTTGACGCTGGCCTTTACTTCTCTGCAGATTATTTTCAGCTTGCTTTGGAGGTGCAAGGCCACTGTAATGTGGCTGCTGCAGTTTGGGAGAAGCGGGGCTTTGCCAAATTCACCTAGATTAGAGCATATCTGGGGCCTGGACTGATCTGGGAGCCCCAATTTCTGTCTCATGGGGCCTGGTGTGGGACGGACCTCCCCCTGGAGTGGATGTGGAGCCTTGAGACAAACAAACTTATATGCAACTGTTCTTGCCTCAAATTCAGAACTAAAGGAGGTCTTAGAGAGCATCTAACTATTTTACAGGGGAGGAAACGGAGTTAAGAGTGTCCTCGTGAGCCCAGAGCACCACTGTTCAGTAATGTCTGCTGCTAACCCTTGTGGTTTCACAGCTGTTCGTGCCACTGCCTCCATTTCTGCAAAGTCTTCATTTGCTCCTATGTGCTCCCCTCCCCCTCCTCTAGGCTAGCTCACACAGAGTGGCTGTGTTTCTCTTTTTTTCATTCTCAGCTCACCTTGCTGAAAAGGCCTACTTTATCCACCCCACCCTACCCGGCCCACGCCTGACTCCTGCCTGTTTCCTTCGTCATTTTTCTGTGACTCCTGTATATTCCCAAGTACAGTGTAAGAGCCTTGAGAGAGAGAGCACAATGTGTCTACCAAACAAATAAGTGTTTCTGATACTTGGAGCTGCTTTTAGGATCACCATGTCCTCAGCCCATGAGGTTTTCTGGGGTTTGACACTGAAAGGGGATGATGTGACTCAGGAGTGAGGTTATGTCACGTGCTAGAGTCTGGATACTTGTTGCTATGGAGGTGGCCCAAGTCTTAGACCTCCTGTGTTGATGTTGATACGATGTAGTGTAATTATGAAATGATGCTCTGCTATCTAAGGCATTTCTCACAGTGTCTTGTTTCCTACTGTAGACGTCCCTGAAAAAACTTGATCAGTGCCAGTCACAACCCATCACAGAAACTGAGGGAAACCTGATCTTGAGATGACCTTTCATTAAGAGAAAGTTGATATCCAGCCTGTCACCTATGTGTGTATCGCACTTTATGCAGCATCAATACGTACTGTCTAGAAAGAGTCACCACAGAATTGTTCTGCCTCACATTGACGTATCCACTTATAGGAGCCAAGTTGTTGTATAGAACTAAGTTGTCCATAATGTTCTGCATTTGGGGGCATCAGTCTCAGATGTGTTGAGGTTTTATGTCCATGGATTGGAAAATAGATGTCACATATGAAGGAAGAAGAGAAACCACCTTTTCGAGAGGGACCTTTTCAGGGGGCCAGTCTGTAGCTCTTTCGAGGTAGAGTTTTTTGAACAGGTGGTTAGGCTGGTGATTGTGATAAAAGACCTCCATTTTGATCACATCACTGCCACAGACAAACTCAGTACCTTTAACCATTTTATTCTTGACCAAACAACTCTTATTTCTCAGCATCACAATTTCCCCAATTGGGAAAAGAAGTAAAGTAGCAGGCATCCATAGATTTATTTTAAAAAATTTAAATTCTTAATTGTTCCATAGACTATTGTGATGTATTGCTCCATCAGTTTCCCTTGGGTTGAGGGGATGGTAAAACGTAAACATAGGATTGGAGTGCTCTGGGCCTTTCTAGAGTGTGTGTCTTCTATTCTTCAGTCGGATTTCTTTTTTGAGACTTTTATCTTGAGATTTTTTTCTCTTTGTAGTGTGGCAGTTAACTAATATGCGATAACATTACAAAATGAAATGGACTACTCTGATGGGCTGAGGTCCTTCCAGTACTTGCTACTCGGGTAATCCCTTATGGTGAAGATGCCAGGTTAACTTCTGGGTGCTCACCAGGTCTGCATGTCCAGATGCACCCCAATCCTGCAGTGAAGAGGCGAACACAGAGCAAGGAAAGCTCCTGGCAGCCTTGTTGGAGGGCAAGGCCAATGCAGGAAGTGACCCCTGCCCCGAGCAAATGAACTGCATTAGCTTTCCCCTGGAAAAGTGAATTCATAGAAAAATCCAACAGAGATACCTTGGGGAGTTTTCAGTACATGTTTGTAATTTCATATTTATTTCTTTTAAGACCTTTACGTGTGTGTGGGAGAATTCATGTCATATTTTTCCTTGTGTTTAGAGAAATTAATAACTTGGTTCTTGATGCCATTGATAATTTATTTTAAATTCAGAGCCAGCAGAGGGAGTACACAAGATTTTAAACTGATCTCAAGTATTTTTCCCCATATAGCTAAAGTGGTACCTTGATTAAAAACAATCAAGATCTAATATGTCATGCTTCTGTGTAGGCATATGTCATCATGATAAAAGGATAGCTTGGAAGAGAGAAGAG